AATCCTTATGGTCATGTCATCGTCTTTATAGTCGTCGTCATCATTATCATCATTACTACTATTAGGCCTATCATCATTATCATTGTGGTCTTGCATGCGACATGCACGACCACAATGCTATTTGTTATATAGTGTGAACATTAAATGCTGAGCTCTATAATCCATTGTTATTTAAACTGGAGAGTAATACAAGACAAAGTATGCATCGGATATTTTTTGAAACATTTATCAATGTAAACATTCTGACATGATATAAATTCCTCAGTAAATGGAAATGACTATCGGCATGGTCGTCCGTGCCGATCACCTTATCCTCAGTAAAAAAATGTTGGACAGCTAAACTACTGTTTCTAAATAAGCTTGGTAAGTTGAATGCTCTTGTAGGCCTAAAGTGCCACATTATTTTATAATAATGTCAGCACTGGTAACATTCAAATCAACAATGTGAGGTTGTTCCGCCTTAATTATGCTTTCCATTGGCATCCCGAAGGTACATTACGCTTGACATTGGGTTTTATAGTCTATTATTGATATAATGACCATGACCAAAGTTTGAAGATTAAACATTCTTTACCTATTACAACTGAAGCAAATTTTGCTTTTTTCTTCTTAACTTATTTACGATTAATTTTATTTGACTCTTATTCATCAAACCTTAAGATCTCGAGGCCAGTGGCCTAATATTACTTTTAAGATACAAGTTTTATAAAAACATTTTAATCCGAGAGAAAATAATTTAAAATTGTCGTAGAAGCCTGAGGATCTTCATCAACTTAATTGGCTAAAAAAACGGAATGCAATACTACGGTTGTGCCCTAGGCATTTTTCCAAATAATGAAGTCTACGCACAGCAGCAATTAAAACATTTTTTTCAAGTACATATTGAAGTTCCTGAATACTTTGACATTTTAAAAAACCTCTATTAGTTTCGACTGTTGTAGCTTTCGAATAACAAATCATTAATAATAAATGTAGAGGACACGTTTTAATTTCATACATATACTAGAGCAGAGTCTAGGTTACTTGTTTTTCTCGATGTCGATGTTTCTTCAGAATATAAATGACTGAAGACTGCATGCTCGAAATGTTAATTCACGAATGTTTACCATTGATACCATTGAAGTCCAACGCCTTCAAATTTAACTTACGGTACATTATTTGAATGTGTATTCATTAATTAAATATATTAAAACTTCCACGACGGTTTAAAAATATTAAACCTTCGTGCAAATATTTGCTTTACCCTTATACCAAGGTAATATATTCGATGCAAATACCTCAAACCGCAATCTTAATAACTAATAAAATTCAACTCTGTGCACCAACGAAGGAAAGAATATGGTTATGTGCATAAGTGTAAAAATTGATCAGTATGTTAAAAAAGGTTTACTAAAATCCAGAAATGTGTTGAGTTGGTCGTAAGCATTTTTATTAATAAGTTTTATGAGTTAAGTTTTGTAATATCATCAGTGAAAAAAAAAATGTTTAAAAACCGAAGTTTGTGGCAAAATGCCATGCAGGCTGTCATTATATGGCTCTAAATTTTGGAATAATGAACTCCCACACAAGCTGATGTATTCCCCCCACGTACTTACCGGTCAGCGAGGACATACAATGAAGTTCTCTGCATCTCGCTAATCACATGATGGTCTATAAGGATATTTTATTTTCAACGATAACTGCAGACTTGAAATTAAGTATGACTTCATCCTTATGAGATAACCTGTTTAAAGCACCCGATACATAAAAAGTTCAACGTAAGTCATATCTCATGAAAGCTACTGCTATGCGACACGTGTGTTGCTGTTTTTTGTCTAAAGACTTGCTGACCGTGCTATATGGTTTCGTCCCCTGTTCAATTTAATTGCTACCACTATTTCATATTCCCTAAAGTATTGTCTATTTTAACTAAATTATACATAGGCCTATATCAA